GGCTGAGCCGCTAAGGGCTCCGGTGGGAAAGGGGGTGGCCGGGCCCCCCCCACCAGGGCCCACGCTGCAGGTGGCCACAGAGCCAGAGCCCCCAGGGCGGGCGCAAGGGCAGCGGGAACGGAGCAGGGAGATGCACGGGGCCAGGGCTAGGGCTAGGGCCAGCGGCAGGAGCAGGGGCCCAGGGCAGCACCCCGCTCTCTGAGCAGGCGTTTCCACTCCATGCGGCGGTCGTGGGCCAGCTCTGGCTTCCTGGTCTCCCCTCGGAGCGCCCCGCAAAGCCCACGGCACCGCAGAAGGAACGCGGCTCAGTCTTGCGAGGGCTGCTCTGAGCTTGCAGCCAGGGCCCAGCCCCCTGGAAAGTTGCCAAGTCTTTGCGGGGCAAACAGCATTTCCATGCGGGCCAGAGGTTGGCGCGTGGCTAGAAGGCCTGGGAGTCCGAGGCAGATCCGACCTGCGGCCAGCGCCCGGGGGGGTGCGTGAACCCGATGCCCGAGAACCCCGGCGGGCCGGGGGCAGGCGTGCACTGACCATGCTGCCCGGCTCCGCAAAGGCCAGCGCTCGCCCAGCTGTTTGCTTTGCCACGTGCAGCGAGAGGAAAGGGCAGCAGCTGCTTGCTGGCCGGTCCTGCTGGGGATCAGAAACCTGCAGGTGGCCCGGCTTCCGCCGAGTGCCACGCCTCAGGGGATGTCCACGCCAGCAGGGCCTGTGGCTTCGTGGGAGCGCACGAGGCCCAAGCACCTTAGCCAGCCACCGCAGCGCGGAGAACCAAGGGCAGCTTGTGCCCTGCAGACAGGCACCAGGGCTGCTCCTGCCTTCCGGGGGCTGGCAGGGGGAGGGCCCACGCCCCCAGGGCCAGTTAAACCCCAGCCCTGCCCGCTGCTCGCCCAGGAGCGTGGAACAGTGTGGCTTTCACCAGCAGAGCCTGGCTGTGGGGACGTCACCCCGCTAGGAGCGCAGGGGAGGGGAGAGCGGCTCAGCGGGAAGCCAGGAATCACAGGCATGTGGGTGGAACTCCCGCCCCCGGCTCTGCCCTGCACGGGGCTCCCAGCCCGCAGCAGCACACGTAATGCACCGAGCCTGGAGGCGGGCCCAGCTCCCAAAGCTGGACAGCTCCCTGCCGGAGCAGCCACGGGCTCCCCCC